TGAACATAACCAAACGGCTAGAACTGCCGTGGATCTCTGCTCTAGGCATCACTCTCACCTGTTGATTCAGTACTGCAATCAAGTTTTAAGTTTCCTTCACAAAAACTCCAGCTCCCATTTAGTACCAGTGATTATGCCACTTGGGTTATCCTGCCTTTGTCTAGAAGTACAGCAAAAAGCTGGCATGTTGGGAAATTATCCAAATGGGAGTACCCCTTCAAATAAGGGGTCTGTATAGTGTTGAGCATGGATCAGATGCTTCTTCGGTGCTGCATAACTTGGGGTTCTTAGCATCTAAAGGGACATCAGTTATTTATTATTCTGTCCTTATAGCATTTGATCTAATAAACAGCAGGTCAAATGGTACCTTACAGACTCTGAGTGCCTTTCATCCCAGGATCCTAATGGACCAGTACACCCCCAGCACCAAACAAATACACCAAGAGTACAGGACACAGCAGTTAAATTGTTATCTTCCTAGAAAGTACAGTACTGCATGGAAGGATTTGTGTGCCTCCTTAAAATAGAATTTCTGCTCTCTAGAATCAGCCATCCAAAAATTAGACGTATTATCTTAAGTTAGTATTTACATTCCCAATATATGCAGCAAAGAGAAAGGAGTGATTAAGGATAGCAATCCATACCCTTTCAAGACAGCCATCTGGGATGGGAAAGATTAAGCTTCCTCTGCAGATGCACTTAGAACATCCATAGCAGCCAAATCTGATCTTCAGCCAGCTTAACCTCACACCTAACGGTTACAGGTTTGATGTCAAGTGAGATGATTTGTACCCCAGTTGGTACTGACAAGGAAGTCAGAACGGGCTGGAATCAAAGTATTTGTAGTGCACTAAGGACAAGATAAGTAGAGCCATCTATGTTGCTATATAAAAACATGGGAATTTTAAGAAATACATACATCATCTGGTACTGACGATCCATTATTTTGCTATGCCCTCAGTGCTCCACACAGTTCTGCTGGATTTTCTTCATCTTGTAATGAGCGACACACCTGTTGACTCAAGACCAGTGAAATGTATTGGTAAGGATTGGGAACCAAAAAAAATCCATTTTTGACTAGCAACTATTTCTATTATATTTATATATTTATATTTTAGCTATTTCTATAATATTATAGGGATGTTTTAAATTCTTTCTTGTTATAACAGAGTGACTGAGTTACTGACCATTTTCTTCTACCTGAGCATCTCCAAATATACTGCTATGCACACACAAGCATAAACAGAGATTATGTCAACCTCTTATTTAAACAAACTTGAATATAGGAACTCAAGAAAAATAATTTATGATTAATGTGGCATTGTAAGTATTTACAGACTCCTTCTCTAGCTTACTTTTAGAACAGAAATTCTTACTGATGCTTTCATGATGTCCATTCTTACTTCTTGACTTCCATTTTGCCTTCTTGCTCTCAAGAAAACAAACGATAAAAATATACTATTAAGCAATTAGTTCTCTGCTTAGATGCCTCTGCTTGCAAGTTGTTCTACTGCAGGATTTCTCTTTACTCCACAATGCTACAGTTTGCCAGTTTTTTGTGTTTGCCCTAGATAATTCCCAACTGCAGTGAACACATGCTAGAAAACCTTAGTTATACTGTATAATCAATGAATACACACACATTATAATTACAAAATACAAGAGAGTTTGGCTAAGCAGATTATTACATACACCAAAGAAAGAACAGATAGACTGCTTACGCCTACCTGGGCTTGCCGTAAAACCCCAAAGAAGGGATCTCCAGAAAAAGATC